GGATCATTAAAAATAATTACAATTCATTCATTTTTTGGATCTTTTCATTAATTTCATTAATTTTTAAGGGATCAACATAAAGCGAACCGGAAACCGTGACCATGAAACCGTGAATCGAACCGAACCGTGGATTTTGTGAACCATTCCACCCCTAATATATATATATATATATATATATATATTATGGTGCTAGGCTTACTGCACCATTTGGGCAAAGATGGCGGCTCCAAGACTCCGTGATCGTTACAAAAAGTATTGTTTTCATTTTTTTATTGATTAACGCTTAATTCATTAAATCACCAGGAACGTATTAGTGTTAGGTATAAATAATGATTCCTCGCTGACCGGACTTTTCCTTTAAATGCGTGCACGAGCCCATTTCTCCTCGTGCACGCTCTTTAAAAGTTGCTGTTTGCATCACTCATACAAGCTTACTTTCAAAAACAAGATCTGCAAGTTTTCCACTATGTCAGACTCACCGGGAAATGAAAATGGGGACGATTACGTAGGACGCCCTTATGTAAACATATCGCCAGAATGACTGACAGTTGAGAAGACCATTTTTTTGATGATCCACCCAGAAAAAATCCATCCTCCACTTAACCTTTAAGACGATGAGCAGGAGTATACAGACTGATTGGTTTGGGTAGCTGCAGCTCACCTGTGTAACCTGCTCCAACAGCAGCGGCCTCCCTTTCACTCTCTCCTGCATCTCTTTGATCTCCTGGCGGTATTCCTTCTTGCGCTGAATGTCTTGTTTCCTGTAGAGAACAAACATGTGACCTCTTTACTCAAAGCACAGAAGAGGCTGTCTCCATGTTCAAGTCATAAAACAAGCGTGTCCACCTGAAATCTTTTAGCTTGCTCTTGTACGTCTGGGAAAGGGCTAGATGGGGGTCATTGGCTTGGGCACGTTTTAAAACCATCCTCTGCAGCATTCTCTCCCTCTCCCTCTGCTTTTCTCTCCGACGCTCCTCCTCTTCTTCGGCCTTCTTCCTCTGCTCCAGAGCTTTTCTACAAAGATAATTTTGGTGACAGAGGTCGGAAGGTTTGGAGAGGATGACTTTGGCGGGAAGGGCAGCGACATATGAAGCTACTCTGGACTGGGTGCTGCTCTAGGATAGCTGTGGGTTATAGGATGGGAGGCGGTCCAGAGGAGTCCTCTAAATCACAGAGGGGATCAGCTCTGGTCGCTATGGCTACACAGGACATGTGAGTTCAGAGGATCGGACTATTTCCACTACAATAGTTGAAGCCTTTGGGCTGCTGATATGATACCTCACAGCTTCATGACGCTTTTTGGTTGCGTCTGTAACTTTGGCAGGAAGCAGCTCCAGACTTCCTGAGAGGGACGAACAGAGGCTTGAGTTGGGGGTCTGCGACGTTCCCGGTTTGATGTGAGGCCATCGCAGCATCCGAGGGCTGCCCTGGTCCTTCTCGATGTCTGCCAGGATGCGCTCCCGGTGTGAGGAGATTTGGGAAGTCTTCAGTTCAAAGGGTTCGCACGCCGTCGTAGGCTTCACGTCCTTCCTCCTTTCCAGCTGCTTCTGGAAGCGTCTGTAGCTAGCGTTGAAATCAGGCACCTCTTTGTTTATTTGAGGCTTGTGGGGAAAGCCGTCATTGCCCCCGGCTGCAGCGCTGCCATCTTTGGTCTTCTTGCGATCACTGAGACGTCGTGTGAGCATGCTGGGAGGCACCGACGCACTCCTAAGCATCTCCTGGGCCCTCATCTGTATCTTGATGGATCGGTACAACTGTTCCTCCTTCATCTGCTCCCCCGATGCCGCCGCATACACAGATTTAGGGACAGGCTTAGCTTTGAAAGGTTTCACTTTCTCCTGGTCAGATTGCTGTTGCTGATGTAGCTGCTTCTGTTCCCTCTTTAGTCTCTCCCTCTCCAGGAAGCTGAAAGGCTTTTGAAGGGCTCGAAGATGCTGCGCCTCTCGCTCTCGCATGGCTTTCCTTCGCTCCTCGTTTCGCTCCTGCAGCTCTTCGTACACTGGAAGATGGACGTGCGCAGGCACCGGACTGGCGCGGAACTGCCTCTGGCATTCGGTCACCTCCTCCAGCTGCCTTCTCAGCTCTGCGTTTTCCAGTTCCACCTCAGAGCGTGTCTTTATGCCATGCTTCTGCTTCTCAGCTTCCCGCAGTGTCATGTGGAAGGGTTTTGCGACGGTCACTTTGGGATTTCTTCGCTCCCTTCTCCTCCCACTCCGCCCATCTCCTGGCATGCTGTGCAGCGACGAGGAGGATGTGCGATGATTGACGGGGGACACCTTGAAGTCCTTCCACATGTTCTTGATGCACTCTTTAGGAGAGAACAGGAGGCCCTTTTCCACGTTGCAACTGGTAGCTTCATTCTCATCGGATGAGTCCGACTGTCCAGAGCCCCAGCGGAGCTCAACAGCAGAGTGGGACTTTCTCAAACGATGATGTGAAGCTGCTGGGCTTATACTTGACCAGGGTACCCTGACCGAATAAGAAAAAAAAAAGGCATTTAACTACAGCGAAGCACGTTTGTATAATTTCATTCAGGTTTCCTGATGGGACATGCATTTATATTTAGCACTCTCTTTACTCTGAAAATGATCAAATCTAAGGTTGGCCGATTCCTTCATGAGTTGCTGTTTGGAACAGAATCACAAAGGCTGCGGATCGCAGCAGACAGAAGTTGACCAGGATTATATTTTTAAACAACATTATGAGTTTTGAACGTCTTAAGAACAGCTAATCCTGCTGTCGGGGAACATTTTCTCAGCAGGGACAAGGAAGTCAGTTAGAGTTCATAGAGAGGTGTATGGAGATAATTACGTTAGAATCCTGACAGAAAACCTGTTTACTGCAAAAACGATCTACATAGAAGCATATTTGAACTTGCTTTGAGCGGGTAAACAAGAGGATCTGCTTATTTAGTTATTTTTAGCCATAAACAAGATAATTGTAAATTACACATTTGAAATAAGACAATGTTGTTGTTTTCTTATTTTAGATATAAATCTTCTTAAAAGATGCAGATTTTCAGGAAATGATAAAAACATTTTGACAAAAAGTTGTAAATAAACATGAGAAAAGACTGAACAATTACCTGCTGGTGTGTGGATAATCAGAATCATAATGCATGTGGATATAAATGATATAATCTCATAGTTTAATTCTTTAGAAAGAATTGCGTCTTTTTTTATTTTAACATATTGTCCAGCCATTAGCATAGACCCAGAGCTACATTGGAAATTTTTTAGATCAGGGAGGGTAATTCCAGTTCCTGAGATCAGGTATCCTGTCACTTTTCAGCTTGGTTCACATTATAGGCACATGTCACCCAAATGAGACTCATACCCAAATTTTTCATGGGAGTCAGAATGGCTAAATTCAGATCTCTCTCTCTCTTGGATCCTTTCTACGCTTCTTTATCTTGTTTTGTTTTTCAGTATTACTACTATTGTTATTATTATCCTTTTCTAGAGTACAGACCTAGATAAGATAGGTGCTATACCATTTACAGCAGGGGTCTTCAACGTTTTCCAGGCCAAGGACCCCAAACTGATGGCGAGATGGAGAGGGGACCCCCTAATTATATTATGGGTTCTGGGCAATATTATATACTATTTGCCTCTTAATCTGCATTGCGTTAAAGGCAATAAAGTTCAACCAAAAAAAAAAAAAAA